AGATTGAGAGAGAGCGAGCAAGCAGGGGAGGGGCAGGAAGAGAGGGAGACAGAATCCCAGGCAGGGTCTGCACTGTCTGCATGGAGCTGCATGTGGGGCTCGAACTCATGAACTGTGAGATCATGACCTGAGTCAAAACCAAGAGTCAGACGCTTAAGCAACTGAGCCACCCAGGCACCCTAAATTTTTATTTAAGTAATTTCTACACCCAATGTGGGGCTCGAACTCATGGCCCCACGATCAAGAGTCACGTGTACCTCTAATATGGTTTTAAGAAAGGATTTAATTAAAATATACCAAAATCCTATGTGAATAATACTAAATATAAATGTCAAGAAAATACAATACTTACCACTGGTTTGACAATGTTGGAAAGAAGTGCTTCAAAAGCTTTAGTTTCTTCATCTTTCTCTTAAAAAAAAAAAAAAAAAGAATATTAAAAAATGAACTAAATACATTCATCCCTCTCCCTCCACAATGTGTCTTCTGAAACTATGTTTGTAATCTGAGATTTTTATTTCCTAGTTTTTACTTTAGTTCGTATTCAGCAGTTTGTGGCTCTTCAGGTTTCTTCACTTCAGTTTCTATTTCCATTTTAACTGCGATCACTAATTATAATACCATTATATATATATCTGAACCAGTCACTAAGTTTTTCTAATATAAAGTATATTGTTTTTCATAGTTAAAAAAAAAATACTCTCTGAAATTCTCATTTCCCAATCTCCTACCTCTTAACAGTTACAAGTTAACTATTTGTTTCTTAAAAGGTCTTAACTATGGTTCCCAAAATAAAAATATAAATGACTTGACCAGAACTTGTATTCATAACTGATATATCTGAAACTTTAGCTTAACTCTTCTGAAGTATCATTCATTCTGATTTCAGAATGGTCAGAAGGTCTCAAAAATATGGGGAAATATTTTTGTTAATGTAACAGTTATGAGGTTGTTAAAGCATTAAAATGTGTTGGTGAGGAATGGAAATCATAAAGAAAAGGAAGTAGTACTCAGAGTTCAAATAGTGGAAATTACTCACAAGCTGGGGAAGGTTCCTAGGGAAATATGGGGATTTTAAGAGAAAAAAACTTCTGAAGAAAGTAATGGAGACTACTCAATCCTAACTACAGAGTATATAGATAGACTGGTAAATGACACAATGAGTTGCTTTCAAGGACTTACATATAAAGAAGTTGGGAGAAATAAAAAACTAAAGTTGATAAAAACCAGAACAGCCATGTCAAAGGCACAGAAAGAGAGGAAAATGAATCTGAATGAACCTTATTAGGGTTTTTCTTTCAGACAGAAATTTCTCTTGGGCTAGTAAAATTTACAATATAAGTGAAATTACTAATTGAGCTTTCCCAAATTATAAGAAAAAGTACCCTAGCAACAATTTGGGTTCTAAAACTTTTTCTCACATTTAGAAGTGTTATCAATCTACAGCTTATCTGGAGCACGATGAAATAACTGAAAGAATATACTTTTGGTTGATTAAATAATGATGAAAAGTACCAACAGGAATAGATGAGTGTTTTAAATAGTTACCTTCTATTTCTGTATCAATTTGCGCACCACCTTTCCCTTTCCCGGACTTGTTCTTTGTTGATCCTATGTTTACACCACTAGCATTTTGCCCTTTTATAAGCCCATTATGTTCATTTATGGGAGAAGGGCATTTCTGGGGTGATGATGGTGGACTGCTCATTTTATCCTTCTGTGTTCCTTGGCGATCCTTTAATTTTTTCTGCAAACGTTCATATGTTTTGCTAGATCTTTCATCTCTAAAGTTGGACCTTCCATGTGTAGAGTGAGCATCTAAGAAGAAATAAAATAGAAGGAATGGGAAATAAATTTATCATTACATTATATAAAAATTATTATGAAACATTTCAAAGAATAATTCTGCAAAACAAAGCTATTTCTATTTATCCATCAACTGACAGAACCAAACTTTTTGATTATAATTATATATATCAAATAAATTTAGAGATATTTCTCTTCTTCATCTTTTCCCAATTAACTATTAATCTCCACAGAAGCAGCTTGGTGGTATGTTATGATAATCATAGGTGGGGAATAAGATCTGAATTGAAATGTGTACAGTTCTTTTTTTCTTCTGCTCTTTTGTAGCCATCATTTTTAGCATCTCTTTCAACTTCAAACATATAAAATAAGTAAACAGAAAACCACCACCTGCCTAAATTCCCTGATGACTAAAACAAAAAACAAAACACCACAAACCAAATTATCACTGAAAAATAAAGTTTTAGGAGTTAAGGAAAAAAAGTGGGATTGTTTACTAAGAACAGAATCCAGGTACAAAATACTGCATCTCTGTATATCATAAACTCAAGGGTGTGATTCAGAAGAACATATTTATTCTACTAAAAGTCACATAACACTATAATAAAATCAATAAACTCCAAAAATATTGTTAAATTAATTGTCTTCAGAGTTTTTTAGTTTCAATTTAAAATCTGTAATGACAAAAACATTTTTTAAAAAGCCTCAAATATCTTAGTAAAGTTTTCATTTATCAGTGTTTTAAGAAAATTAGTACAATACTCTTGAAATGAGTATTACAAGGGTAGGTACATAAAACATTAGAATAAAAAAACATAGGCATTTGGTTATCTACATGTAAAAGAATGAGTCTGGACACCTACCTCACACCATATACAAAAATTAAAATGAGTCAAAGACCTAAATGTAGGAAGTAAAACTATTAAAGTCATAGAAGGAAACACAGCTGTAAATCTGTATGACTTTGGGTTAGATAATAGTTTCTTTGATATGACACCAAAAGCACAAGCAATCCAAGAAAAATAAATCAGATTCACCAAAATTTTCTTTTCGCATTAAAGGATACCACTGAGAAAGTGAAAAGACAATATGGGAGAAAATACCTGCATATCATAAATCTGATAAGGACTTGTATCCAGAATACATCAAAACTATTACAGCTCAACAATAAAAAGACAAATAACCCAAATAAAAAAAATGAGTGCAGGATTTGAACGGACATCTCTTGAAAGAAGATAAACAAATGGCCACTAAAACAAATGAAAAGATGTTCAATATCAGTAATGAGACAAGCAAATGAAAACCACGAGACAAAAGTTCATACTTACCAGAATGGCTAGAATCAAGTTTTAACAAGGATATGGAGAAATTAGAACCCTCACACATTGCTGATAGAAATGTAAAATAGTGCAAACACTAAAGAAAAGTTTTGCAGCTTCTCAAGAAGTTAAACATAAAATTACTATATAAGCCAGCAATTCCACTCTTAGATATATACCCAGAAGTGAAAACCTGTCTACTTGTTTACAACTGTCAAGGCATCATTATTCATAATAGACAAAAAGTGGAAACAACTCAAATGCCCATCAGTTAATAAATGAGTAAACAATGTCATATCCACATAATGTAGTACTTTTCAGCCATAAGCAGGGAGTATCATCATGCTACACTCTTGAACTAAGCCTTAAGTAGCCTAAATGAAAAAATGCTAGACATAAAAATATTGATTGAACATTTATATCAAATATACATATTGTGCATATATTTATATGAAGGAGCTAGAATTTCCTTTTCACGGAGGCAGCTACTGGTTATAAAACTGTTATTTGGATCCAGTGGTAGATGCTTTGGCTTATAATCTTAAATACAATACGACTCTTGTCTTCCATCACCGGGTAGCTAGTTTTTAAATTTGTACCCTTTAATGGGTTTGTATTTTTCACTTTCCTTCACAACATTATGAATCATATCCATGTATTCTAATATCCCCTCTGAACAACAATGGGTTCTAACAATGCGAAATAGCAATAATTATCACATCTAGTTTTTTATTGTAATTTTCTCAAACACCTTTTTAAAAATAAGTCATAATAGAAGAATGAGACTGATTTGTAGTATAAACTCTTACTACTCAAGTTTTCACTGGACCACTGCATGAGCCTTACCTGGGAGTTTGTTAGAGATGCAGAAACCCAAACTCCATCCAGACCCACAGAATCAATATGCATTACTTGGGCAACAGAAGTTAAGTTTGAAAAGTATATATGATACATAACATAACATATAAGATACTGCTTATAGGCTATGCTGTGTATTTAAAGTTCTATATTTATTTTATTTTATTTTTTTAATTTTTTTTTTTAACGTTTATTTATTTTTGAGACAGAGAGAGACAGAGCATGAATGGGGGAGGGTCAGAGAGAGGGAGACACAGAATCTGAAACAGGCTCCAGGCTCTGAGCTGTCAGCACAGAGCCCGACGCGGGGCTCGAACTCACGGAGTGTGAGATCATGACCTGAGCCGAAGTCGGCCGCTTAACCGACTGAGCCACCCAGGCGCCCCTAAAGTTCTATATTTAGAGTTGTTTACTCTGTAAATTTACAAAACATTAATGATAGATACTACTAAGTGCAGGTGACAAATAAAAAAGATTTAGTTCTCAGGGGGTTTACTGTCAAACAACGAAGACAGACATACAAATTAAAACAAAATCAAATTGTGTTAAGTTCTGTGAAGGAAACAGGTTTCAGTGTGAGTGACTGATAAGACCACAGAGGGTCTCTATGAAAGCTGAAATCTATCGGGAAAAAAAACAGAGCCTTCTACAGAAAAGGGAAAAGAGCATTCCTGGCGGAGAGAACATGGTGTTCTCAAAAAGAGCTTGGAGGTTTTGAAAAGCTGAAGGGGGTGGGATGGGGACAAGTGGAACAAAGCAATCAGAGGCCACAGGGCAGGGCCTTATCCAGGCCAGTGGTTTGCAACCAGGGCCAATTTTGGCCCATAGGGTTCATTCAGCAATGTGTGGAGATAATTTTAGTTGTCACAACTGGGTGAGGATAGGGGAGGGTGGGTTGATATGCTACTGTCATCTGGTAGGTAGACAGCATGGCTTCTCCTGAATATCCTACAATGCAGTTTTGTGCTCCAAAACAAAGACTCATCCATTCCCAAATATCAAGAGTACAGAGGTTGAGAACTCCTGGTCTAAGGCAAGGTTCAGGATTTTATTCTAAATAAAATGAAATGTTTAAATAAAAATAGAAATCAGATTTATATTTTAAAATGATCACTCTGGCTGAGCTTGGATGGCTGGGGGCAAGAATGACAGCAGAGAACCAACTGGAAAACAGCTCTTGCAGTTGTTCTGACAAGAGCTGACAGTGGACTAGATTTGAGTAGAAGTGGGGAAAAAAGTAGATAAAACTGGGAAACTTCTGAAAGTAAAGCTGGTAACAATTGATGCAGGGGTTAAAGAAGTAACAATCAAATTTGACTATATGTCTTTCACTTGAGCAAACTGAGTGGCAGTGGTATCAGGTATCAAGACAAAGACGACAGAGAAAAAGCAGGCTACATAATTGAGATTTATGTTTAGAAACAATATAACTGAGATGCATGAGACATTTAAGTGGAGGTATCAAGAAGAAATTAAGCCTTCTGAAGCTTAGAGGCCAGGTTTTGGCTGGAGATACAAATCTGAGAGGAATTAGTATATGGTATTTAAACCCATAGGAAAGAATAAGATTACTTCTTTGTGGATGTGTGTGTGGTTGTCTATTCTTCCCAATAATTTGTTAACTCCCTGGGGGCCAATGTTGTACCTTATTTTGTTTTTTCAATCCTTTACATAACCTAGCAACTTTGGTAAGTGGCATCACAGCTTTAAGGATTTAACAACAGTATGATTACTCCTGGCTGAAAACTTTCCTCAGAGCCTAGTTGGCAAGACAGAGAAGAAAAGCTCTGGTTTGAACACATCCTCACTAAATATTGCTGCATGATATAAGTTATTTTACCTTTTTGATTTTGTTTACTTTTTGCTTTGAAGGGTGATCATGAGAATGAAATACTTAACACAGTGCTGGGGCAAGAGAACATAAGTGTGACACTAGGTTGGTCATTTTTTTATATAATAGGAGGATAGACAGCATCTGTTCTATCCAAGTAAAGAAGAACTAATTCCATAAAATAGGAATATTTTTTATCTTACCTACATCTCCATATACTTGAGAAGATTGATACTGTGGCATATACTGTGTTGCCATGTCTCCAGCTCCGGTCACTGGTGAGTACATATGGCGTGGTGGAGGGGGCATCATGGTTGGGACAGGAATGAAACCAGGCAGAGGAGGAGGATGTGGAGAACGGTGTAGAACTGTGTGACCACCAGGATGAAACTCTGGTGCCTGAGGAACCACAACAACTCTTCGAACACCATTGTCTTCAATAACCTACAAATTGAACATTAAACATTTCTTCCATAAGATATAAGCAATTCTTTTGTAAAAGGTTAGGAGTAGGAATTTTTATAGCATTAGAAGTTCACTAGAAGTTCATATTAAATACACTAAGTACACATGAATTAGTAGTGAACAAGATGAGGTAGTTTTTATTATACAATGCAATATAAATCTTAAAACACTGATGAGATTAGCTAAATAATAATACAAATAATGAACTACAATATCAGGTATTTATTCCTATGTGTTATGTGCATTTAGTGATGCGTTAACAACAAAAGGAGACTCAAGGGAATTTTTGGGTTAAATAACAACAGGATTAGGAATTAATTTCCTTTTCCATATTATGGGTAGGAATAAGTTGTGGAAAGAACACAAACTGTGAAATAGATATGGGGAAAAAAACTGGATCCAGATATCTAAAATCAACCATATATTGCATTTAGGTACAAAATTCTTATGACCATGACCAGGAGAATTTTAACAGTTGAGGATCTTTCAAGGGAGACAAACACCTAATATATTATTAACTCCCAGTTAAGCAAAGTATCTGTGGCTTTCAGTTTTAGAAATTATATATTTTCTTAAAGTTTTTATTTTAATTCCAGTTGGTTAACATACAGTGTCAAATTAGATTCTGGTGTACAATATAGTGAGTTAACACTTCCATACAACCCTGGATGCTCCTCACAAGTGCACTCCTTATTCTCCATCACCTATTTAACGCCAACTCCCCACACCCCACCGCCCCCGCTCTTGTAACCATCTGTGTGTTATCTATAGTTAAGTGTCTATTTCTTGGTTTGCCTCTCTGCTCCTTTTTTTTTTTTTTCCATCTGCTCGTTTGTTTTGTTTCTTTTTTTTTTTTTAATTTTTTTTTTCAACGTTTATTTATTTTTGGGACAGAGAGAGACAGAGCATGAACGGGGGAGGGGCAGAGAGAGAGGGAGACACAGAATCGGAAACAGGCTCCAGGCTCTGAGCCATCAGCCCAGAGCCCGACATGGGGCTCGAACCCACGGACCGCGAGATCGTGACCTGGCTGAAGTCGGACGCTTAAGCGACTGCGCCACCCAGGTGCCCCTGTTTTGTTTCTTAAAATTCCACATATGTGTGAAGTCATCTAGTATTTGTTTTTCTCTGACTTATTCTGCTTGGCATAATAAATACTCTCTAGCTTCATCTGTGTTGTTGCAAATGGCAAGATTTCATTCATTTTTATGGCTGAGTAATATTCCATTTTATATATACACCAAATCTTTTTTTCCCCTCAGATCTAGTATTAGGGTTCGGTTTAGTGACAGAATAATGGTTAGAGTTAGGGTTAGGGACAGTGTGAGGGTATGTGCCTAACTCTAACCTCTAATCTTAACCCTGAAGTTATCCTTCTGGAGAGGTCTCTGAAGTACTGGATAATAGGCACATATCCTCACACTGTCCCTAACCCTAACCATTATTCTGGCCCTAACCCATGCCCTAATCTTAGAAATCATACCTTTTTGAAATGGGGTTTAAACTGTAGGAAAGGAGTTTTTAAAATGACAGATTTATTCCCTTTGAACCTCACTGGAGCTACAAGGAAAGCCTTCCGGATATAGGATTTTATCTCAAAATTAGCAATTCTTCTACCAAAACAGGGCCCCTACCTTTTTATTTTTATTTATTTTTTAATTGTTTTTAAACTTTTATTTATTTTTGAGAGAGACAGAGAGTAAGCAGGGAAGGGGCAGATAGAGAGGGAGATACAGAATCCAAAGGAGGCTCCAGGCTCTGAGCTGTCAGCACAGAGCCTGACGCAGGGTCAAACCCACATACAGATCATGACCTGAGCCGAAGTCTGATGCTTAACCGACTGAGCTACCCAGGTGCCCCAAGGGCCC